CAAAGGAATGACTCATGTTTTACAAGGATCATTCTGGATCCTGGGTTGCTGTATGGGACTAGAGAAGAAGAAAAGAGGACCAGTTAGAGCACCCAGGTGAGAGGTGAGTGGCTCAGACCAGGGTAGAGGTAGTAGCTGTTGTGAGGGTGTCAGTTTCTGGATATATTTTGGATGGTAGAATGAATAAACATCTTCCTGGTGTGAATGTGGGTTTTGAAGAGTCCAGGATAACTCCATGATTTTGGTCTGAGGGACCAGAGCCATAAAACTGCCAACTACCAAGAGATGGCAGAGATTTGGTGGCGGCGAGGGTGGGGGTGGAGATGGGAAACAGTCACTGAGGAATGAGTGAAGATAGAGAAGTCCAAGAATTGAGCCCTGGGGCAGGGAACATTAAAAGATCTGAGAGAACAGCAGGAATCAGAAAAGAAGATTGAGTAGCAACCATTGAGGTAGAAGGAAAACTGACTGTAGCATCCTTGGAAGCCATGTGAGGAATATTTATCACGGAGGAGGGACAGATGAAATCTATCAAATGCGGCTGATAGAAAAAGAAAGATGAAATCTTAGAACTGACTGATTTAGTAAGGAGGTGACCTTGAAAATGGTGGTAGTGGTGGTGCTGAAAGTAGAGTGCTGGAAAAGCTAGATTGGAGTGAGCTGAAGAAAGGAGGAATTGGAGACAGAATAGATCTTTGGGGGTTATATTCCAATGAAAGGCAAAGCAGTAAGACAAACAGCATACTGGATTGTGGCCAAGAATTCTTTTTTAATGGGAGAAAGTAACAGCATTATTTGTGTGCAGAGAGAAATGATGCAAAAAGGGAACATTTGAGCATGGAGAGATGGGCAACCACTAGAGTGAGGTCTTTGACCAGGTCAGAATTACACAGGAATGATCAGATTTTCATATATGCAAATATTCACTGAACTTGTGCCAAGCACAAGGAACTGAGGATTCCAGTGAAAAAGACACAGTTCCTGCTTTTATGTAGGTTTATCAAAGAGTGAGGGAGATAGGGAAGTCCTTAACTGAATGATAGCCCTTTATATATTGGAAATTCTCAAAGTTTTCCCTTCAATGGTTAGAAATTCTCAATTCCTTTAACCACTACTTATGTGGCATGGTCTTCCCAATCCTCACACCTTCCTAAACTGGTGCTTTTTAGATGGTCAGTGTTCTCCTAAAAATGTTGTGCCCAGAACTGTGTTCCAGACATGATTTAACAGAATTCAATGTCAAACTAAGAGATTATTTTATTTTACAAAGCCAGGTCTCCTCTAGAGTCCACTCCTTAAAAGGTATCAATTTAAGGGGCACCTGGGTGATTCAGTGGGTTAAAGTATCCAACTCTTGATTTTGGCTCAAGTCATGACCTCACAGTTTGGGAGTTTAAGTCCCGCACTGGGGTTTCAGACTGACCGTGTGGGGCCTGCTTAGGATTCTCTACCCCCCCCTTCCCTCTGCCCCTCCTGCACATGCTTTCTCTCAAAATAAATAAACTTTTTTTTAAAGGTATCAATTTAAGAGAGTAGATGCTTACAGTAAAAAGCTCCAACAGTGCAGAAAGACATGAAGTACACAGATCTCTTGATTCATACCTCAGAGGTTATCACCAAGCTTCTTACCAGAAACTTTCTATGACCATAAAGCATAAATACACTATCCACACATCCAGTATTTTTCTGACTTCCACTTGTAACAGACATCATTCCATTCTGGTGCATAAAGATACACATCATTTATTTGAGCTGATGTATCTTATTTAGATGCCCCCACTCCTTTGAGAATTTTAGCCATTCCTAAGCTTTTGCCTACTATAAACAACTCCAGAATGCACTCAGGCTAACTTGCAAAACATGTCAGGTTTCAAATATAACCCTGGTATTCCACCCTTCTCCTTTTTTGGTTAACACTCTACATATGAAGGATTCTGGTTTATCCACAAAATCATGAAAAACAATGCAAAACAATGCATTATCAATAAAGTTTTTAAGTAGATGCAAATGCACAAATCAGTAACTTGGCACTCTTCCAGAGGGTTCAGTCACTATGCTACAACTTTTCCATTATGCCCATAACCTTCACTAGGGAAACTGAAAAGTATTTCAAAACTGACCAATGTGTTCCCTTAATTTTGTAGCTAAAAAAAAAAAAAAAAAAAAAAAAA